GAAACTGAAGGTTTTATCTTTGCAATTATGGACGAAGTTATCATGACGAACAACTACCGGAAATATATACTAAAGGATGGGACGGTCGACATTTGTCGGGCATGCCACCGTCCGGGAGAGTCTATTAGACATATTGTTTCTGGCTGTTCTCGGTTTGCTAACGGCGAGTACTTGCATAGACATAACCAAGTGGCTAGGATTATCCATCAACAACTTGCTCTGAAATATGGTTTTCTTGATTCTGCTGTACCTTATTACCAATACCAACCTCAACCAGTTCTTGATAATGGTCATGTTACGCTCTACTGGGACCGATCTATTATCACGGATAGGTATATTGTTGCCAATAAACCTGATATTGTGATAATAGATCGATCTGCACGTCGAGCAGTGTTGGTTGATGTCACCATTCCTCATGACGAGAACCTCGTGAAGGCAGAAAAGGACAAATTAATAAAATATTTAGACCTGGCCCACGAGACTACCGCCATATGGCATGTTGATTCAACCATCATTGTTCCAATAGTTGTATCGGTACACGGCTTGATAGCGAAAAGTTTCGATCAACATCTTAAAAAACTTTCGTTATCCAGCTGGGTTAAGGGCCAAATACAGAAAGCAGTTATCCTCGATACTGCACGCATTGTGAGGAGGCTTCTCACTCTGGAGTCCTAACCACTGGTGGCTTGTGTCGTAGACACCGCCATCAGCGGCAATCTATTTTTATATAGTGTTTTTAAAAAATTGTATTATTAATATCTTTTTTAAAAAATATTATGTAATTAATAAGATTTTAAATAAATATTAATAAACAATAATAATAATACGAGCCGATTCTTTGGCCTTAGATAATACCGTTAATTGTTTTTGGCTTTAAAACAGAAGACTTGGGGGCTGTATGGGCTACGTTCCTCTCTATCGAATATTTAAATTTAAAATAAAAAACTAAATTATCCTACAGTGTATAATATGTTCCTTTTTTTAGCTATAACTAGCATACCTAGATATAACATATCTAAACGATAGATTAATATTAGATTAAGGTTCCATTGTTAATCGTCATAATCTTTTAGCTAATCAAAGGTCGAAGCTAGCTACCTTCCTTAAAGAATGCACGCGAACCANCTCGATATATAGATACGATTCGATACGCGGCAAAACCGATATTACCCACTCCTATACAGAGGACAATATTTTAGGTGTGTGGCGCATTTACGTTATAGATGTCTATGGGCTCCAGTAACCACTTAACACCAGGTGGGCTGTGAGCTCGTCCACACATCTCAGCAATAAAAAATAAAAAAAATTAAAAGGCACATCGCGATTGCGATTAAGTGGATACACGAAACTGCAGTTTGACAGTGTGGCGGGTAGCCATCATACAACGCAAGATGATTGACGGATGCCTGAATCTCGCTTACGACATTTTCAAGATCAGCTTGCTTATATACAAGTTCCGAACAACAACATTCGGACCGTCGGTCTACAGAGCAATTATCACCCGCTCGGTGGAAGATCTTCCCTTTATCGTATATCTACAGTAATAGTTGGCCCTACTGCAAAGCATGCTTTCTGTGGCGGATGCCTAAGTTTCGAGCTCTGCCTTATCTTGAAAATGTCGTAAGCGAGATTCAGGCATCCGTCAATCATCTTGCGTTGTATGATGGCTACCCGCCACAGACAGCATGTTTTGCAGTAGCGCCAACTATTAAGACTTGAAAAAATTCAATTATTCGCTAAAGACAATAAAAGTAGTTTTATTTACATTTCATACGTAATTGTATAACCCAAATAAAAAATGAAAAATGAAATAAAATATCTAATTTAGCAGACCTTTGGCAGGAATTCGGGATGTAAGTTTTATGAATTATTTTATTTGATCTGTATATTTTATATAATTTATAAAAAAATTCTTCAGTTTTAATCCAAGTTAAATTTCTTTTCATAATTAGTTCCATTTAATTTTTCATTAAATAAACATGGTGTGAGATAGGTATGTTTAGATACCAAATAATAATAATAATAATAAGAGTATTTTAGATCGCATAACCGTATGGAGGAGCAAGGAGTTACACGGTAGGTTCTACCGGGCTCTCACAGGGCCTGATGTAGACCAATTAGCTTCCGTGGCCTGGTTACGATTCAGTAACCTCTTTGGGGAAACTGAAGGTTTTATCTTTGCAATTATGGACGAAGTTATCATGACGAACAACTACCGGAAATATATATTAAAGGATGGGACGGTCGACATTTGTCGGGCATGCCACCGTCCGGGAGAGTCTATTAGACATATTGTTTCTGGATGTTCTCGGTTTGCTAACGGCGAGTACTTGCATAGACATAACCAAGTGGCTAGGATTATCCATCAACAACTTGCTCTGAAATATGGTTTTCTTGATTCTGCTGTACCTTATTACCAATACCAACCTCAACCAGTTCTTGATAATGGTCATGTTACGCTCTACTGGGACCGATCTATTATCACGGATAGGTATATTGTTGCCAATAAACCTGATATTGTGATAATAGATCGATCTGCACGTCGAGCAGTGTTGGTTGATGTCACCATTCCTCATGACGAGAACCTCGTGAAGGCAGAAAAGGACAAATTAATAAAATATTTAGACCTGGCCCACGAGACTACCGCCATATGGCATGTTGATTCAACCATCATTGTTCCAATAGTTGTATCGGTACACGGCTTGATAGCGAAAAGTTTCGATCAACATCTTAAAAAACTTTCGTTATCCAGCTGGGTTAAGGGCCAAATACAGAAAGCAGTTATCCTCGATACTGCACGCATTGTGAGGAGGCTTCTCACTCTGGAGTCCTAACCACTGGTGGCTTGTGTCGTAGACACCGCCATCAGCGGCAATCTATTTTTATATAGTGTTTTTAAAAAATTGTATTATTAATATCTTTTTTAAAAAATATTATGTAATTAATAAGATTTTAAATAAATATTAATAAACAATAATAATAATACGAGCCGATTCTTTGGCCTTAGATAATACCGTTAATTGTTTTTGGCTTTAAAACAGAAGACTTGGGGGCTGTATGGGCTACGTTCCTCTCTATCGAATATTTAAATTTAAAATAAAAAACTAAATTATCCTACAGTGTATAATATGTTCCTTTTTTTAGCTATAACTAGCATACCTAGATATAACATATCTAAACGATAGATTAATATTAGATTAAGGTTCCATTGTTAATCGTCATAATCTTTTAGCTAATCAAAGGTCGAAGCTAGCTACCTTCCTTAAAGAATGCACGCGAACACTGTCATTGAACTGAACTGTCACTGAGTTCACACACATTTTTTCACTTTCAATAAACGAAAGAAGATACCACATTTTAATTGGTGATAACAGATGAATAGTTAGTTAT